TTTCATGACGTCATTAAATTCTGCTAAACTCGTGATCTTCGCTTTGTTCAAATTTCTTCCGGGAAATCAATGTTTCAATTTGCTAGGTTTTGCTGGTTTAGCAAACATCTTCTAACACGTTCTTTGAATGCGAACGGTTTTTTTCAACACTCGACTACATTTATTTTCAGTACGAGATTCTTTTTTTGAACTTTCCATTTATATCGTTATAATTCCTTTGCGATTTTTTGAAGACTATTTCGTCAACTCTGCTTTAATCGTTTTGACAATTTTTCCGTACTCGGTTGGGTTAGAAAGCGTTGGTGAACAATTTATGTCTTTCCTCAGTGGTCTTGCTCGTCATCGCCACTGGCAGTCGTAAACGCTACTAACCCTGCTCTCTTTGTTTACATAATCGAGTTACTGGCATTGATCTGGTGGCAAGAGGGCCTGTCTGTCGTTTTAACAATCTGTTTCCCCTGCTGGACTCCTGCAACTCTTTGATGGGGTCCACAGAGAGACCGGGTTGACCTTCCAAGTTTGCTGAATTATACTGATGTGTTCTTTTTACATCTCTACTTCTTCAGACAAACGTATGGCCTATCTGAATGAGTTGGAAAACTACCGCATTGCCACACAGTCCGGCGGCGCACCGATGCCTCGACCTGCCGAACCCGAACCTTCTGTGAGTTTGGACTGCCTTCTTTCTGAAAAACAAACCTGCATGTTCATCCTCTAGCAGGTTTCTGAATGCCAGGATAAAATCAAATTATTTTTTAACATTCTGAGAACAATCATTGTCGTTTATTTGGCTTTTTCACACGCTTTATCTGATTACTACAGACACTTGCAAACAGGAAAGTAGATTAAGCGATGGTTTCTGAGGATATAGGAAACGCTATAGAGAGCGATGTTTGTTCCTGAAAAAAATGGCACTTTTGGGGGATGATTTTTAAGTCACCGTAACTGTGTCAGTGTGGGTTATTGTACCATGACCTATGTGCCCCTAACAGGAAGACGGCAACACGAAAGTGTAACGATGGTTACTTGCAACTAACAACGATAAGGAACAACGGTTTTTACTATCACAGTGGAAACCTATTGCAATACGGAGTGCTGTTTTTCTCATCGGAACTGTCTACGCTTTGCTTGCGTCCCCAAGCATTATAGGAGCTGGAATGGGCAAAGGCACCTTCTTCATTCATCATTATCGGGCCTGTACAATAATATACCTGTAATGTATCTAGCCATCTGCCCCGATGAAGTCAAACAGGCTGTCGCATTAGCTTGGATGGGCCCCCATTCGTTCAACGAATATAATACTGAACTATATGGCTGTGCAAACACACCGAAGAAATTTGATTAAGATTGTCTACCACTCGAGCTGATGACAAGGATGCTAGAGAAAATTAACCTTATCTTCACCACTGGGTAAGTGTGCACAGCTCTAGAGTTCACTGGGTTTTCCGGGTGGATGCGGGAATCGCCATCACTGTTAGCTCTATCAAAATCGATCGCTGTTCATGTCTATCAGCTGCTCTGGCCTAATCCGAAGGGTGCATCACGCCACATTACAGTGAAGAAACACACCACTCAACCCCTTTCCCACGGGTTTTTTCACTGTTCGTTGGCCTAAACCTATTTTAACGCACAGGTTTTGGAGTGAATGCTCAGTAGCATGCGCTTGTCTGTTTTGGCGTTAAATATTACTATTATTTTATTAGTTACTCCTTTCATCCGTAATATTTCCTTTGACCCATGGTAAGGGCGCGAACTTCTGTGCTGAGATTCGGCGCGGAGTCGCAATTAAATTTCCATGGATAAAATTGCCCACCCGTTTTGTCTGATACAGTAATCTCTCTGTATATAGCGTTTAGAGTTTCATGGTTTCGTTCTATCGCGGACTTTAAGTGCAAGCATTTATATTACAGACTTGTCCCTCGTCTGCGAATTTATGCGGACAGTGGACCTTTTTATTTCTGCAATATGCTTCCTCGGTTGGTTTGCCCAGTTGATTTCATACCAAGGGATGCTATTGGCTACTACGCATTACGATATTGCGCATCAATGGTATACGATGCGTATATTTGTGCCTACTATATAAGCAATACAAGGGCACGTGCGAGTCCCAGGAAGTAATTCAGCAAAAGATGATGCGATCGCTGGGACGAGACGTCTATTTGCCTGACGCTACGAAGTCCGTTGCGGATTCTTCAGCAGAGGCAATAGCGTAAACAGTAGCAAAAACGGGTAATCAATGCACAGGGAGTTGCAATATTTATAGTATACAGTGACGTCTTACCTTTTCAAACGTGATGTTTATGTTTTTCACAAAACTTGCTACTATATTAAATAAAGTAACACATTTATTTCCATTTAAAACAGGGCCGTATTTTCAAGTACTTTATGATCAGCCTACATGCATCTGTTGCTGCCATTGTGGCCGTTATTCTCGTCATCATCATCGCAGTCAACTGATCCGCCCGAGCCATCTTAGCGCGCCTGTTTTTGGTTGCGCCTTGACTCCCACCTGACGTCTTCCAGCCTGCTTACTATCTTTTCACATTTGCATGTGATCTGTCCCACCCACCGGCCACTACCACTGAACCTCCTCGGAGAAAGTGACCTGCGCCTATCACTCTTCTCTCCTGCCTGAAACGAACGGGGTAATCGACGTAGTGGCAGTCTCCCTCTCCTCTAGCAGCTTTCAATTACCTATCTTATTGCGCAGACTACGCACGAAGCCGCGTTTCTGGCACTGGCCACGGTGGCTACTGACTTGCACTATATACTCTCATATTGCCTACATAAAAGATAAACTCTTTCTTTTACTTAGTCATTCTTTGGCGTCTTTGCCCTCCATGCGCTGATCATATAGTCTTGTTTTTGTTTTCATTATTCTCTCGTTTTCGGCTTTTTACAGGCCTTGCTACTGCATGTAACGCGATACTTTAACGACATTGTTAATCTTCTTTCCAAACAACTCGTTCACAGGTATTTGTATTTTACCTTTAAATGACTTCTTCTCTTTTAAATAGCTACAATCATGCCTAATGCGCCTTTTGCACTGCATTCGAACACCGCGCCAGGGCCGAAAGAAAACGCCCCCTAAGAGTTGTTTATTTAGGTTGAAATCGTGCAGTATAAGTTTGTATATAGACAGAACAGAGCCAAGCAGAACGACATATCTATTTGGTTGTTTTCGTGTACGTACCCTAGCCAGACAAACGGAGCTATCGCGTAAGGATAATGAAAGAATGTCAGTTGTGAAGAAGACACAGTGAAAAAAGTATTGAGACCAAACTGATAGCTTCTGACACATTTGTTATCAACCGGTGATGCACTTGTCTTTGGCATTTGACTGAAGGGGTTGAGTGACGCAGCCAGCATTTACTCCATCTCAACGTGTTGTCGACCATAACGTTTTATGAAGACAGGTCCCGTGACAGGAGAAACAAGGGACACGAATTTCAGATTGGAGAAACTTCATAGACTGAGTCGAACTTATTTGGACTGTTGCCTGTTCATCATCACGTCGGGGTCACCCATTTTTGCAATGCTAACTGATTAGTTGAAAGTTGCTTTGGGATTTTCCTCATTAACGACTAGCGCGCAGCTACATTCTTGATGAATTTTGGGCGCTAACGCGTATCATAGCCACGGTTGCATATGCTGATGGAATTATTGTTTGTCATCATGGAATTCTGTAGTTTGGACCACGGTGATCTAGGCTGTGGGAAGTAATGAAGGAAATATAGCTGTCCCATCTGATGTTCAAGTTCATGATTCATATGCAGACGAAATTTATTCACTTGGGGGTTTTAAGGCCCCACGAGAAAATTTGTCGGGAGAAAGTGTATTCATAAACTCCGGTTATTGCATCTACCCGGTTAAGTGTCTTCATTTGTTGCTATCATGCCGTAAAATACTTTAATTGGAGAGTCCGTAAAAAATCCTACATTGTTTATTACACAGTATACAACTGCTCATGTTAATGTAAAAGAGACTTTCTGTTTTTATTTTTAGTAACAAGAAATCTTCCAAGCTCTTGTCTGTAAAGGCCACTTTAAATGCATCTGCTCCGACTGCCCTTATAGGTGTTAAGGCTAAGACGGTCAACCCGATCAGCTAAAATCTTCCAGGCCCAGTTCCTTAGGAGATGAGGGAAGACGGTGGTAAAGCCAGAGTAGAAGGAAGAATGTATTGCGTGTGCAACAGTTAGGAGAAGGTGGTCAAGAGGTCTTGCAGGGCGCCTGACCGTGAGGCCAGTGGAAGAGGGTGGCGTCGCCGACCGCGCCCCGCGGAGGCGGAATCCCAAGTGTCCTCTAACAGCAGTCATCGCGGGCGGCCGCAGAATACTGGCTTTGTCTCGGTAGACTGGTGGTGATTGGTTGCACAGCGCAAAATGGGCACAGGCGAGACTGGGTGTGTTCGTAAGTCGCTCAGACCTTGAGCGATAGACAGGCC